AGTGCACATCCTGCCCCAGATAGACTCATCTAGTGGGGAAGAATGGAGAGCAGGCTGTAAAGGGGAAAATGAGCCACATCAAACTTGTGGTTGGAGATGGTATTACTGAAGCAACGACCACAAGAACATCTGCCTTCATAGTCCATGACAGGAACTTTAAATAATTAAGTAAACACATGGACAAGGACTTAGGAATATTAGAGAACTCTATATCCAGATTAGAGAAGCAAGTAGACTCTTTAGCTGAAGTGGTTTTGCAAAATTAAAGAGGCTTAGTTAGATCTTCTCTTTATGAAACAATGATTATGTGTGGCTTTAGGAGGAACCTGCTGTTTCTATTCTTGCTAATCAGGTATAATTAAGAAAAAACTTACCATGGTCAGGGACAACCTCAAAGAAGGGGTGGAAAGGAGACATAGATAAGTGGTATTAATCTCTGTTTACCTGTTTATCTATGACTGACCCTATGACCTTATTGTCAGCATAATCTGGACCATTGATTCTTGTCTTGGTTGGGCTAATGGTGGGTCCATGCATTCTCAACTGCATGGACAACTACATCAGAGAATAAACCCAGTTAAGCCACCTGTTCTTAGGACCAACTATGCCCCCCTAGAGAAGAATGAGTTAACAATTAGAGTCATGTTCAAAAAAACCAGTGAAGAACATTATGCAGCAAGACAGTGTAAGGGGTTCTTCCATCCTGTATGTATTATTGCTGAGGGTATTCCATGTTTAACTAAAATCTTGTCTTCTTGATGAACAATCCCATGAAAAACTACCCAACTCTATTCTAGAGGTCAGGATGTCCTAGCTAACTTAGCTTCTGTTTAACTGCCTGTTTCTGCAGAACCCCCTCCAACTGAGTGCTTAGCTTCTGTTAAACTTGCTTGCTTCACACTGCTTATTTCTTCAAAGCCCCCCAGCAGCTGCTGAAAAAGATGCCAGGACATGGTTCTGCCTCTAAAAACCCTGTGTTCTGGACACTTAGAGCTATACCCAGGTCCCCAAATACTTGGGTGTGATCCCATCGATATTCAATTGGATGAAAAACAAAAGGACTTTTGGTGCTTGCTGGCTGCCACTTTAACCAAGAGAACATAAGCTCAGGTTCAGGGCATGACTGCCTCAAATGAATTAGGAGAGGAATGGAAGATAGCCAACACAGTCCTCTATCTTCCATGGTATACAGATATAAAACACTACCACCCTTACACATATACATATGCTGTATTACACACATGACGTTTAGCAAAGCCAGCATGGAAATACATGCCTTTAAATCTGAGCATCGAAAGGCTCAGATTTAAAGGCAGTACAGAGCACATATGAAGCTAGCCTGAGTTTCGAAGTTGAGACCTTGTCTCAAAAACCCAAAATATAAATAGTAAAACCTTTAAAAATTAAAAAATAAAAATAAAATAGGACCAACAAAATGCCTCAACAGGTAAAGATGTTTGCAGTCAGTTAATGTTAAAGATCTCAATTTGGTCCCTGCATCCTGATCCCTGTGGTTGAGAGAGAACCAGCTTCTTCATTTTTTTTCTCTGATTTCCATATTATCACTGTGGATCCCACACAGTGTAGAAAAGCTAAGCAAAATACACCATAGGAGTACTAAGATAATCATATATATTTTTATTGCTACATTAGAAATGAAAATGAAGTGTGAGAAGCTGCATAAGCTGACAATTTGAGAATGATGACAAAGCAAAGGAGTCACCCATTATAGGTTAAAACTGGCTTTCATTGTATAAAGGGCACAAGGACTACAAGCACTGCAGGTATTAGTGATGAGATTTCTGCCAGCACCTACTATCTGCAATTTTTTGCATCAATAAGGAAGTTTAAAAAACAAAGGGAATGCCTGGTACTAATTACAGCTTAACTGGGTACTATAAGGTATAGGCAAGAAACCATTCTCTAGAAACATAGGTTTAGAAAAAAACAAACCTAAAACCGAGATTGTTGGTTAATGTTGAAGTTTATTTTCCCAACAAGATCATTTTATGATCTTTTAGTAAACTCCTTCTCTTGCTGGATTGCTAGGAAAGAAAAATAGGAAAAAGTCATTACTTCTTTTTGGTTTTCTTAAAATTAATTTCAGTTTCTTCTAACAGATCGATTCCCTAAGTCACTGAGTTTTATGCTTATACTTATGCTAAATAACTTCAGTTTTATGCTTACACAACTAGGAAGTTAGATCGTTTCAGATGATTTGTTGAATTCCCAATTAAAGCTAACAAGACAAAACGTGTCAGTCAGCTTTGAAAAGTACACTTTCAGTTTGTGCAGCAGGCTGGTGTTCTGAAGACCAAACTGATCCTTAGCATCTGGGAGCCTTGAACACACCGGAGCTCTAAACTTCCCTTCCTCCTTAATTTACATCTGTTTACAGAAGATCATAGATTCAAACTGTTCCATCCCGGAAAAAAAAAATCTAATTAACATTTATATTCAAATTTTAAAACTGGGCAAAACTGAGACTTAATTATATAGTACCACATCAAATACTCCAAAATTAGCTTTAATGTAGCATTAGTGATTTTTGTAAGAAGAAATCACTCTATGATACCATTACTACTGCAACCTAGCATGAAACCACATACATTACCCAAATAAAAAGCAACTATTTGATATTTTAATTGCTCCATTCCTTACATTTTGGCAATAGAACATAGGTGTGTTAACTGACTATGCCAACTTTCACCAGTGTTCCCCTTAACTAGGAACCCCCACTACTTACTTTCCTTCGATGGAAGAGTATTTTTTTCTTCAGTATTGGTTTTCTTCAGCTTTGATCTGTCAAATCTTTCCACTTCCGACAAGTCCGGTTTATCACTCATCTTGGCTGAAAGAACAACAAAAAGTTACCTACAGATTAACAGTTAAAATTGACTGTCTTTACTATCCCTCCTCTCCCTCCCCTCCTCCCTCCCCTCCCTCCCTGCTCTCCTCCCCTCTCCACCCTCCCTTCCCTCCTCCCCTCCCTCCTCCACTCCCCCCTCCCCTCCTCCCTCCCCTCCTCCCCTCTCCACCCTCCCTTCCCTCCTCCCCTCCCTCCTCCACTCCCCCCTCCCCTCCTCCCTCCCCTCCTCCCCTCTCCACCCTCCCTTTCCTCCCTCCCCCTCCCTCCTCCACTCCCCCCTCCCCCTCCTCCCTCCCCCTCCTCCCCTCCCTCCTCCACTCCTCTCCCTGCCCTCCTCCCTCCCCCTCCCTCCTCCACTCCTCTCCCTGCCCTCCTCCCTCCCCCTCCCTCCTTCCCTCCCTCCTCCCACTCCTCTCCCTGCCCTCCTCCCTCCCCTCCCTCCTCCACTCCTCTCCCTGCCCTCCTCCCTCCCCTCCCTCCCTTCCCTCCCTCCCTCCCCTCCCTCCTCCCCTCCTCCCTCCCCTCCCTCCCTGCTCTCCTCCCCCTCCCTCCTCCACTCCTCCCTCCCCTCCTCCCTCCCCTCCCTCCCTGCCCTCCTCCCTACCCTCCCTTCCCTCCTCCACTCCTCCCCCTCCCCTCCTCCCCCTTCCCCTCCTCTCCCTGCCCTCCTCCCCTCTCATCCCTCCCCTCCTCCCTCCCCTCTCCTCCCTCCCCCTCCTCCCCTCTCCTCGCTCCCCCTGCCCTCCTCCCCATCCTCCCTCCCTCCTCCCTCCCCCTCCCTCCCTGCCCTCCTCCCCTCTCCACCCTCCCTGCCCTCCTCCCCTCCCTCCTGCCCTCCCTCCTCCACTCCTCTCCCTCCCCTCCTCCCTCTTCCTCTCCTCTCCCCTCCCTTCCTCCCCTCTCCTCCCTCCCCTCCCTCCCCTCCCCCTCCCTCCTCCCTTACCCCTCCCTCCTCCCTCCCTCCCTCCTCCCCCCTCCCCTCCCTCCTTCCTCTCCTCCATCCCTCCCTCTACACCTCCCTCCTCTCCTCCCTCTTTCACTCCCTCCCTGCTCCCCTCACCCCTCCCTCCTTCCCACCCTCCTTCCTTCCTTCCCTCTACCCTTCCCTCACTCCTTCTCTCCCTCCCACCCTCCCTACCTCCCTTCGTCCTTCCTTCCCTTCCTACCTCCCTCCCTTCTTCCCTCCCAACCTCCTTCCTTCCCTCCCTCCTTCCTTCCCTTCCTCTCTCCCTCCGACCCTCCTATGCCCCCCGATCACCCTCCCATCCCATCCCCCCCACTCCACATATAGGGTGATGCCTTCCAGAAGGGGTCATCTAAATCTGTCAAGTCATTTGGAGTAGGGACTAGGACTTCTCTCCTGTCTCTAGATTAAGGGAGTATCCCTCCATGGGGAATGTGCTCCCAAAATCCTTTTGTGCACCAGGGATACATCCTGGTTCCACTGTCAGAGGTCCCTTAGACTGTCCAGGCCTTCTAACTGAGACCCATGTTCAGGGGGTCTGAGAAGAGGTCCTCAGTACTCTTAACCGCCGAGCTAACTCTCCAGCCCCAATCAACAGTATCTTTTTTATTATTATTACTTAATTTTACATCCCATCTACAGTTCTCCCTCCAACCCCTCGCCTTCTTCCACCCTCCCTCACTGGCCCCTAGCCCACCCCCAGTCCACTCCTCCTCATGGGTAAGGGCTCCAGTGAGGAGTCAACATAGTCTAACACAATGAATGAGATTGCCTAGGTGGGAAGGGATGCAATGAAGATCAATGAAAAAGATATCTTAGTAAGAGAGCCAGTATGGGCTTAGGGAGAAACCTGGTGCTAAGGGGTAGAAGGACAAGGGCCAACCCTAGAAGGCTGCTGCCCCCCACCCCCACTCTGTACGCAGCAACTCTCCTCCTGGTTTTTGCCCTTTCCTCAGAGTTGCCTGTCCTCTTGCCCTTCTAAGGTAGGAACCCCTAGGATCCATGTGTGCTCAACTCCAGAAACAAAGCCACTGTGAAGTGGGCTACCAGATGGGATTCCATCAGCCCCAAAACGCTACCATTTGGGCAACACCTTGCCTGCCACCCTCCTTATTCCCCAAACCCCCTATTTCCTGGTCCACAAGTTCTTACCTGTTCGCTTCAAAGCACACCGCTGGCTAGATCAACAGCTGTGTTTACCACTAGCTTGTGGACCAGACTGGTACAGCCTTGTGCCCCTGCACGATTATAACCCTGCTGCATGCCACGCCCAGGCCACGCCCAGGCCACGCCCATCCCTCTGTGATTGGATAGACGACAATGAGGTCATAACATTGAGTCACCTACAGGCCCTCTTTGGTAGGACAGCAGTCCTGGCTCGTTTAAATTTGTGGGTGCAGGAGTTTGTTCTTTAGGATATCTGTGCTTATAAATATAAGTATTTAGATTGTTTTAATAATAAGAACAAAGTCTATGATAGTCTCTGCCTCCTTGTATAACAGTTAGAAATCATTACACATATTTAGCCAAGCATAGTGACACACTCCTTTAATCCCAGCACACAGGAAGCAGAAGCAGGCAGATATCTGAGAGAGTCCAGCCTAGTCTAAATAGTTCCAAGACAGCCAGAGATACCCTGTCTCATATATATATATATATATATATATATATATATATACATATATATATATATATTAATATTATATGGTGTGGGAATTGAGAAAGGTATCTCTGGGCTATTCATATTTTCTCAATTTACTCAATCAAAATTTATTATTTACATTTTATATTCTTTTTATTAGCTCAATTAGGGAGGACATAATCACCAGAAGTGGGTGATCAAAACTTTGTAATAATAGCATTTTATTAAACAAGCATCATAATTGGCTCTACTAAATCTTGTTTTACAAAAATCAGCTCAAAGCAATCCCTTTCTTATTTCTTTTTTTATTTTACATATCGATCCCAGTTCCCTCACTTTCCCTCCCTCCCTACCTCTTACACTTTCTGCCCCCTCACATGCACCCTGACCACCCTCCCCTCCCACCCCCCCACCCCAATTCCACATGTAGGGCTATGCCATCCAGGTGGGGTCATGTAGATCTGCCAAGTCATTTGAAGTAGGGACTAGGACTTCTCTCCTGTCTCTAGGTTAAGGCAGTATCCCTCCATGGGGGATGTGTTCTCAAGGTCCTTTTGTGCACCAGGAATACATCCTGGTTTCCACTGTCTGAGGTCCCTTAGACTGCTCAGTCCTTCTGGCTGAGACCCATATTTAGGGGGGGCTGAGTCAGTCCCATGCTGCCTTCCCAGCTCTCAGTCTGGGGGCCCGTTAGCTCCTCCTTGTTCAGGTCAGCTGTCTCTATGTGTTTCTGCAGCCTGGTCATGTCATCTCCATCTGCATCTGGATTCTAGTTTGACTCAGTGTTTAGGTATGGGTGTTTGCTCCTGTTTCCAACAGGTACTAGATGAGGGCTCCATGATGGTGGATAAGTTAGTTGTTGATCTCACTATCAGGGAAGGGAATTTATGGTACCCTTTTCCACAGCTGCTAAATTTGTTAGTTGGCAGCAGTCTTGTACCTCTCTAGACCTTTCTTTAGGTTCAGTTTTCTCTTCAAACCAATAATGGCTCCTTCTTTTATGTTCTCTCTCTCTCTCTCTCTCTCTCTCTCTCTCTCTCTCATCTTCTATTCCTACCCTGACTCAATCTACCTAGTCACATGTGCTTCCTCTCCTTCCCTTCTCTTTCTCCTACTTCTCTCTCCATTCACTGCCCCCCCACTTCCCATGTGCTCTGGGGGACTTATCCCTTCCCCTTTCTGGAAGGGACTTTATATGAATCTCTTAGAATACACCTTGTATCCTAGTTCCTCTGGTGGTGTGAATCATAGGCTGGTGATCCTTTGCTCTAGGTCTAAAATCCACATATGAGCAAGTGCATACCATGTTCCTCTTTTTGTGACTGGGTTACCTCATTCAGGATGGTTTCTTCAAGTACCATCAACTTGCTTGCGAATTTCAAGATTCTATTATTTTTTCTCACAGAGTAGTATCCCACTGTGTAGATGTGCCACATCTTCTTTATCCATTTTCAATTGAGGGGCATCTAGGTTGCTTCCAGGTTCTTGCTATTACAAATAATGCTGCTATGAACATAGTTGAGCAGATGTCTTTGTTGCATGGATGTGAATCATTTGGGTATACGCCTAAGAGGGGGATTGCTGGGTCCTGTGGTAATATAATTCCCACTTTCCTCAGGAACTGCCATACTGATCTCCAAAATGGCTGTATGAGTTTGTACTCCCACCAGCAGTGGAGGAGTGTTCCCCTTTCACCAGAATAAGTTGTCATTGGGGTTTCTAATATTAGTCATTCGGGTAGAAGTAAGATGGTATCTCAAAGTTGTTTTGATTTGCATTTCCCTGATAGCTAAGGATGTTGAGCACTTTCTTAAGTGTCTTTCCGCCTTTTTGATTTCCTCTACTGAGAATACTTTCTTCAGTTCTGTACCCCAGTTTTAATAGGGTTATTTGGTGTTTTGTTGACTAGTTTCTTGAGTTCTCTGTATATTTTGGAGATCAGCCCTTTGTCAGATGTGGGATTGGTGAAAATCTTTTCCCAGTCTGTGGGCTGCCATTTGGTCTTGTCCACTGTGTCCTTTGCCTTACAGAAGCTTCTCAGTTTGAAGAGGTACCATTTGTTAATTGTTGATCTCAGTGTCTGTGCTCCTGGAGTTACGTTCAGGAAGCAGTCTCCTATAACAATTTATTCAAGGGTATCTCCTACTTTCTCTTCTAAGAGGTTCAGTGTGGCTGGATTTATTTTGAGATCTTTGATCCATTTGGAGTTGAGTTTTGTGCATGGTGACAGACATGGGTCTCTCTGCAATCTTCTACAGATAATCATCCAATTTTGCTAGCACCGTTTGTTGAAGATGCTTTCCTCCCGCCATTGTATTCTTTTAGCTGTTTTGTGGAAAATCAGGTGTTCATAGGTGTGTGGGTTGATATCAGGATTTTCAGTTTGATTTCATTGGTCTACCTGTCTATTTTTGTGCCAATACCAGGCTGTTTTCAGTAGAGCTTAAAGTCAGGGATGGTGATGTCTTCTGAAGTTCTTTTATTTTACAGGAATGTTTTGGCTATGCTGGGTCTTTTGTTTTTCCATATACAGTTTATGATTATCCTTTCAATGTCAGTGAAGAACTGTGGTGGGATTTTAATGTAGATTGCATTGAATCTGTAGATTGACTTTTAGCAAGATTACCATTTATACTATATTTATCCTACCTATCCAAGAGCATGGGAGATCTTTCCATTTTCTGGTATCTTCTTTAATTTCTTTCTTTAGAGCCACAAAGTTCTTATTATATAGGTCTTTCATTTGTTTGCTAAGTGTTACCCCAAGATAATTTATGTTGTCTGTGGCTATTGTAAAGGGTGATGTTTCTCTGATTTCTTTCTCAGCCTCTTTGTGGTCTGAAAAAAGTAGGGCTACTGATGTTTTTGAGTTTATCTTCTATCCTGCTAGTTTGCTGAAGATGTTTATCAACTGTAGGAGTTCCCTGGTGGAGTTTACTGGGTTGCTTATGTAAATTAGCATATCATCTGCAAATAGAGATAGTTTGACTTCTTCTTTTCCTATTAGATGTGTTTCTTGTATGCAGCAAAAGGATGGATTTTGTCTTTGTATCCATTCTGTTAGCCTGTGTCTTTTTATAGATGAGTTAAGACCATTAATGTTGAGGGTGAGTAAGCACCATTGATTGTTGATGCTTGTTTGTTTTAGATTTGTTGTTGGCAGTGGTATTGTGAATATATTTGTCCTGCTTTATCCTTGGTTTCTGGTGTAATGAGATTATCTGTTGCCTACATCTTTGGGCATAGTTAACTTCCTTGGGTTGGAGTTTTCCTTTCAATAATTTCTGTAGGGCTGTATTTGTAGATATGTATTGGGAAAATCTGGTTTTGTCATTAAATATCTTGTTTTCTCCATCTATAGTGATTGAGTGTTTTTCTGGCTATAGTAGCCTGGGTTGGCATCCATGGACTATTAGTACTTGTAGAATATCTATCCAGGACCTTCTGACCTTGAGGGTTTCCATGGAGAAGTCAGGTGTAATTTTGATAGGTCTGACTTTATATGTTACCTGGCCTTTTTCCTTCACTGCTCTTAATATTTTCTTTATTCTGTATGCTAGGTGTTTTGATTATTATATGTCGAGGGATCTTTTTCTTTGGTCCAGCCTATTTGGTGTTCGGTATGCTTCTTGTACTTTCATGGGCATGTCCTTCTTCAGATTGGGAAAGTTTTCCTCGATGATTTTGTAGAATATGTTTTCGGCACCTGTGAGCTGGGCTTCCTCACATTCCTCTATGCCTATTATTTTTAGGTTTGTCCTTTTCATAGTGTCCCACATTTCCTGGATATTTTGTGTTAAGAATTTGTTGGATTTATGATTTTCTTTGGTCAATGAATCTATTTCTTCTAGTTTATCTTCCGCGCCTGAGATTCTCTCTTCCCTCTCTTGAATTCTGTTTGTTATGCTTGCTTCTGTAGTTCCAGATCTTTTGCCCAGTGTTTCTATTTCCAGCATTCCTTTGGTTTGTGTTGCCTTTATTTTCTCTATTTCAGTCTTGAACCGTTTCCTTCACCTGCTTAATTGTTTTTTCTTGGCTTTCTTTACTTTCCTTAAGAAATTTGTTCATTTCTTCCACTTTTTTGTTTGTTTTTTCCTCCATTTCTTTAAGGGATTTTCTCACATCTTCTTTGAGAGCCTCTATCATTTTTATGACGATATTTTTTAAGTCGTTCCCTTCTGCTTCATCTGCTTTGTTGTTGTGTTCTGGTCTAGTTGGTGTAGAATCCCTAGATTCTGGTGGTGTCATGCTTATCTTTCTGCTGTTAAGTGTTTTCTTGTATTGCTGTCTTCCAGTAGCTTCTTCCAGTAGGTGTTGGTGGGGTCTCTCCCTCTCTCTATGGTACTTACCATGTGGGCTTATGTGGTTCAGAGTTTCGATGTCTGTATCTCTGGGTGGTCCAAGGTCTCTAGGTAGTCTCCCCACAGGCAGAGGCCCAGCGATGGTGGTCAGTGATCAGGCTCCAGCAGAAGACTGGCGATGAGGGTCAAAGATCCTTGTGCCTATAGGCAGATCTAGCCTGGGCCTGGCACTCTCCAGCTAAGGCTTCTTTAGTAGAGTCCCTGTGATGGGGATCAAGGATCCTGCTGGAAGGAACTCAGCAGGATGGAACTCAGTGGTACTGCAGAGATAGGCAGATCTCTGGGAGAGGCCCGGGGCTCCAGTAGAGGACCAATAGTAGGGGTCAGAGACCAGGCAGGTGGAAATTACAGGTGGT